GGGTGGGGAGTTCGAAAGTAAAAATTTTTGTAAACCACTTTTGGGGAAAATATTTCTCCTTTCATTTTTTTGGGAAACCTTTTGCCATTATTTATTTTTCGGTGGATGGGTTTTTTTTTTCTTGAAAGCCTTTGGGAAAGGTTTTTTTTTTGCCCATGTTGGCCCAAAACCGGTTTTGGAGGCCAGGATAAAAAAATGGAAATTTCAAACCCCGGAATTTGGAAATTGGAATTTTGAAATTGTTTCCCTTCAAAATTTATTTTTTTCGGAAACCGGGCCATTGATCCATTTAATTTCTGCCTTCGGAGTTCCCGGGGAGGAAAAAGGCCTTAAACCGGAAATGAATAGGCCGGCCAGGGTAACCCGGGGGGGGGGGGGGGGGGGGGGGGCGAGACAAACAATCCGAGGGAGAAAGTACGAAACCAACTCATTTTGTGTGAACAACATTTGGACCCGTACGCCCAGAATTGGCAAAAAGCGAGTTATTTACTGTCTGGGTACAAGTAAAATGCCGACTAAGGAGGCCTCGCCACCACATTCAACACTCTCATGAATTGATCCGCACCCAGAAACCAGCGAATGCGCCCTCGATGGAATTGTTGAACGTCCCTCAGGGAGTCGCCCTTGTGCACTCCCCCTCCTGTCGGCAAATCTCGATCGTGCTCCGTCCCGAGTTTAGATTGAGTGGAGGTTGTAGACTTGAAAAAATGTCACAGGGCGCGCATGCTACGTGCTGCAATGCCCCATTTTTTTACGTTGAAACATCTTCCCATGCAACTTTCACAATGGTCCCCTAGAATTACCATGTTAGGAACAAATCGGACGCCGGTGGGAATGACTTTGTTTACCTCGAATTTCAGTTTGCTCTTCTCAGGCTAGAGCCAATCGTCTGGCAGGAATCACCGGTAGGCTGTCCGGGCATTGTTCTTGATAAGCCTTCTCTCTCACACTGGGAATTGGACTCTCAACTTGTTTCGGTTAGATTTAACCCTCGATTCTCCTGTGTGTGCTTAAACGTCGCTCACCCTGTCTAGATCCTGACACGGCTCGGGCAGCTGCAGCACATGGTGGTCGACGGCTTTGCCTCTCTGAAGACTGACCAGGTAAGAGCGGTGACGGGAAACAACTCGCTCCACCTTGCATCACCAGGATTAACAAAACAGCAACGGCTCTTAGCCAGGCCCGTGAGCGTCGAATTTCATCTGCGACGTCTGGTCTGTTTGTGTGCCACTGGCAGAACCACTCTGACCTGCCTGTGGCCTCCATAGCCGTCAAGTGAGATGCGCAGAATCTCCACTGGGAGTGGTTACAGGAAGCCTCACGTTTCGCACCATCCCAACACGTTCGCAGATAATTCACGGGACTATCGCTTTTGTTTGGTTGTGTCCTTTTCTTTTTCGTCCTCCCCTTTCCTTGCCCGCGAATGCCAGGAAGTGTAGCCTGGTGTGCTAGACTTCTCGGGGTTCGACTCGGGTGCCTCCTCACGTGTTCCATGCGGTGGCGTGCAGAAATACACTCAACCTAGGCAGCAGTTGTTCCAGGGTATGACGGTACAGACTGCTCGTTGTTTTGGTCTAACATCTTCGCCTTGACTCCTCTTGTGCGCCTCGTATGATACTCGACTCTTGTGGTAAAGTGTGCGATACTTCCCGTTTGACGTCGCGGCGCTCGGACGAACGATCATTTTTTGCACCGCGGCAGGACAAGCTTGTGGCTGGCCAGCGAAACCTCGAGGACGAGCTCGGCAGAGTGCGCTCCCTCCTGGATTCCCCCGTTCCCACCACCATGGCAAGGGGTGGCGTGAAGGGGCATGTCGGGGAGCGGTCTAGTGCGGCGACAGAGAGAACGACCTCGACTTCAGGAGCAGCAGATGGGTTGGCGACGGATTCCACCGCCGAAGTGGTTGCTAGTGTTGGTGCTGCTGCCGGTTCGGTGTCGAGAGTCCAAGCTCCGGACTCCTCGGCGCCATCACCGGTGTCGTTGCCGGAAAATGAGGGCGAACGGCCGGAGAGTACTCCGACGCTCCAGCGGCTCCTCGCGCTAGCCGATCGGGCGGATCGGATGTCTTCGTTCCTGGACTCATTGGAGGAAGGGGAACGACAGACGCCGAGTGTGCAGAGCGTCCGTGAGGTCACTGTCGATTCGGGCGTTCTTGAAGTGTCGCTGGTACCCCAGGAGGTGAGGGACGCTGTGACTGGGGGCGCGCACCAGGAAATGGAGGTGAGGGATGAGAGGGGCGGCGTGGAGGTGACCAGGAGCTCGCCGACGCATTGGGAGGTCCAACGGCCAAGGGTTGACAGCAACGAGCGGCCGAGTGATCTGGTAGTGAGAACGGCCACGCGGTCAGGGCCATCGACGGCCGGTTCCACAGCGAATGTGCTTGCTAGCGCTGGTAGCGTTGGCGCTGCTGCCGGTGGAGCGCGGTCGGTATCGAGAGTCCAAGCTCCTGACTCCCCGGTGCCATCATCAGTGTCGCCGTCGGAAAACGAAGGCGAACGGCGGGAGATCAATCCGACGTCCCAGAAGATCCTCGCGTTGGGCGACCGGATGGATCGGATGTCTTCACCCCTGGACTTATTGGTGCGGGGAGCAGGGGAGACCCCGAGTGTGCACAGCATCCGTGAGGTCACCGTCGGCTCGGGGGACCTCGACGAGTCATCGGTACCCGGGGAAGCGACGGAGGCTGCGATTAGGGGCGCGCACGAGGAGAGGGAGGTGAGGGAAGAGAGGGGCGGCTTGGAGGTGACCAGGAGCTCGCCGATGCGTGAGGAGGTCCAACGGCCACGGATGGACAGCGACGATCGGCCGAGTGATCTGGTAGAGAGGCCGACAACCCCATCAGCAGCAGGGGTTGGGTTGACGACGGGTTCCACGGCTGATGTGCTCGCTAGTGCTGGTAGCGTTGGTGTTGCTGCCGGTGGAGCCGATTCCGTGTCGAGAGTGCCAGCTCCGGACTCCCCGGCGCCATCACCAGTGGCATCGTCGACAACCGAGGCCGAACGGCCGCAGATCATACCAACATCCCAGCAGCTCCTCGCGTTGGCCAATCGGGTGTCGCGGTTGTACGCTCTCCCGGCGCCAGCAGCGGGGGATGCGGCGGAGGCCTCGGGTGTGCCGAGCAGCCGTGGGGTCACCGTCGGCTCGGGCGTTCTCGACGTGTCGCTGGCACCCCAGGACGCGACGGAGACGTTGGCGTCGCCGCCCAACGAGGCCGAACGGCCTAAAGTATTCGAGCGGGTCCTCGCGTTGGTCAATCGGCTGTCGAAGTTCAACGATGTCCTGGCGACAGCAGCGGGGGACGCAGGAGAGACGTCGAGTGCTCGGAGCGTCCTTGAGGTCACCGTCGGCTCGGGGGATCTCGCCGTGTCACGTGCTCCCGGGGAGGAGAAGACGGAGGCTGTGACTAGGGGCGCCCCCAAGAGCATGGAGGGGAGGGATGACAGGGGCGTGGAGGTGACCAGTCAGATGTCTGACGAGACCCCAGTGGTCGAGGCGACGGTGGCATCGGGAGGGCTCGTGCTGGAAGTTGAAGGAGCTCAGCTGGAGGTGGTCGAGGAGATCACCGGCGAGACCGCGGGAAGTTCGAGGGAAACGGTGCCAGGTGAAGGAACAAGAGTGGCGAGGCCGCCGGTGTCATGGGCGGAGACTGCGGAGAGGGTCGAGAACCCGATTGCAGCAGCCGAGAAGGTGGAGGTACCGGCGGCGGAGAACGGGGTGACAGCGGTCGAGACGGTGGCAGTTACACCTGGATCTTTGACGATCAAGACGAGGAAGGTATGCATCGCTGGACAACGAGCGAGTGCTCCGGATGAGTTCGAACAATATCGTAGAGCGTGCTGCTGGATGCGATGTTGAACCACGGTATCACGTACCGGGTACGACCGCTTTCTGTTCGTTTCGGGAGATGGCGCTTGTTGCACACTCCCGTCAGAAGTCGTAGTTTGGTGGCTTGGGCCACCCCTCTCCACAAGACTCGGGGGGTGTCAGTAGTTCGTGTGGACGCACAGCTTTGGCTGTATCACAGTGCGGCGATACCATTCGTGTCGTCGTGGAGGACTGCCTCGTATCCGCACCCCACGATAAAACCTCAACACCAGTCGGTGTTAGTCACCCAAAAGGGTGCCTTCCTTAACCTTCGTTGCACTCACTTATCATACGTCTCAGAATTAACCCCCTGGCCCCCTCGACCAATATACGTTTGCCCAGGTGTCCTCGGAAGAGAGGCAGATGGCCGGAGCCCCCCAGGGGCAGATCTTCGACGTGGTGGCGTTGAAGAGCAGCGAGGTGCCGGCATCGGTCGACATCTCGAAAGACCTCGAGGTGTGCATGAACGAATGATAGCACCACAGCCTGGCTGTCAATGACCTCGTTTCCGACTATAAGGGTTGCAGGGTCGGCATGACAGAAATACCATCTCGCTTCCGTACGTGCTCGACGTAGAGGCAACGCCACAACCAGCCAAGTTTGGGTTGGGGCGTTCGTCCGTTTCTTGCTTCGAATATCGCGACCCTGCAACAGCGTGACCACCGACTCGATCTCCGTGTTTGGATTTACAGACATACATGCAGCTTCCATCGCTTTTCTTTGCAGAGCGGGAATGGGGTCTGAAATAATGTGCTGAATCCGCCGGGTGTTGCAACCAGACGACCCTACCGTCGAAAGGACATCATGTCACATGTAATGAGCAGAAAGCAGTGGACTCCATGTCCCCATCCTTCAGAATGTCGACCTCCCACCACAGGTCTCATCCCCTGCATTTCAACCTCATATCAAACATTCCCAACGTTTCACATCATGCAAACGACGCGGGCTCATGATACCTCCACCCTCGTCAGGCCGTGCGAATACGCTCCGGTGTGACCGACTGGGCGAGCTTGTTCGCCGCCGTGAGCTCCGCGAGGACGCTTGTGCTGCACCATCGCGACATGTTCGGGGGAGAGAATGGAGGTCCGGGCTTGATCGGACGGCTGGTGTCTCTCGTGGCGGACGCTGTGTCCAACAGGCGGTCGGTGGTACAGACGAACGGCTTGCGGTGCTTGGGCGAGATGTTCAGGTGCGTGTTGGATGTCGTCGTGTTGGCGTGTGATGTTGAATTGAAGGCGTTGGGATGTGTGTCCGGCTAGCATCTACGGAGTAGGTTCTGTGATCTCATGCTCAGACAACGGCCATGTACTCGCAATTTCCGGTGTTTGTCTGCTGCCTTGATTTCGCATCAACGTATTGACTTCGGTCGTCACCGCTTTCCCCGCCGCTGCTGCCGTCGCCACCCCCGTTTCCATCGACGACGAAACCCTCTTCCCAGCTGCGTGGTGGGGAAGGAGATGACCGCCGACCAGATGGGAACGCTGGTCAGATCTACCTTGTCCTGCCACAAGTCTTCCTCTAAGTTCTGCGGGGAGGAGGCGAGGAAGGTGCGGACGGGGTAGGCACGGGGCAGACGTACGTTGCTTCAACGGCTACGCTGTCGTTGTTGCAGCTGTACTTGGCCTTGCGTCGCTGGAATTGTGCCCTGAGACCTTCAATCTCGCATGGAGTATGCATCACTGCAGTCGTGGTTCCTCACGTCCGTACCAGATGATATAGCTGCGCTGCAGCAGAGCAACGCCGAACGACGGCATGCTCACGTCGACTTTCGCCAGATGTGCACCGTTAACATATTTGGTTCCCTCTCGTTTTCCACGTATCATTCCATATCCCACGACCAGGCCATGGAGGCTGCCCTGGCCAACGCCGACCCGGAGCCTCTGCTCAGCGCGGTCCTCCCGCTAGCACTCGACACACACCCCAAGGTGGCCTGCCGAGGGCTGATGTGCACGGCCGAGTGCTTGTCGCGGCTGCTAGAGGGCAGCGTGGCGGGGCGCGGTCTGGTGGATGGTGTGGACGTGAAGTCCGTTGTGGCGGCACTGGCCAAGGGGGCCTCGAGCAGGGACTCCGATGGCAAGGAGGCTGCCTGGAGAGGGGTGGAGAT